GCTCCCTCCACCCCTCACCTCAGGCAAACATCGACGCTACAAAGCCCAAGGAGGAGTGGAATTTGGAGGCCCTGGCAGCCAAGGTCAAGCAGTACTGCTACCTGCTCGCCGACCTCTCCCCTGAGTCCCTCGCTCCCCACGCCGACTCCATTGACAGCCTGCGGGAGTATTTGAGGAAGCGCGGGCGGGAGGTGTACTACCAGAAGCGGGTGAGTGGCGGGTTGGGATTCCCAAGCAGAGAGGTTCAAGTGGAGGTAGAAGGGAGAGGAGGGCGATGAATGAGGCCCTCGCTCCCCACGCCGACTCCATTGACAGCCTGCGGGAGTACCTGAGGAAGCGCTGGCGGGAGGTGTACTACCAGAAGCGGGTGAGTGGGTGGTGGCTACTCTACGAAAGGAGAAGTTCAAAAGGATGTGGAAGGGAACAGAGGGGTTGATGAGAGCCTCGCTTCCCCCGCGCTACTTTGTGCTCTCGCAGACGGACAACCTGTGGAAGGAGCACCTGCAGACACTCAAGCTCCCAAACCCACCCGCAATTTCCCATCCCTTCTTCTCTGGTTTCAGGAGGAGGTGGAGAAAATTGTTCCCGGGCTGATGAAGGACGCAGAGCGCTACTTTGTGCTCTCGCAGACGGACAACCTGTGGAAGGAGCACCTGCAGGCACTCAAGTTTGCGCAGCAGGCGGTGGGGCTGCGCGGGTACGCGCAGAAGGACCCGCTGATTGAGTACAAGCTGGAGGGGTACAACCTCTTCCTCTCCATGATGGCGCAGATCCGCCGCAATGTCATCTACTCCGTGTACCAGGTGAGTTACGTGTCATCTACTCGGTGTTCCAGGTGGGTGGGTTACGTGTCATCTACTCAGTGTACCGGGTGGGTTACGTGTCATCTGGCCTGTGTATTACCAGGTGCATTACATGCCGTCTGGTTTGCGTACTAGGTGGATCATGTTGTGTCTGGTTCATGTACAAGGTGAGGTGAGGTGCATTATCAGCAGGCGATGAGGTGAGGTGCATCAGCAGAAGGAATCCCTCATTGAGTACAAGCTGGAAGGGCACAACCTGTTGATCTCCATGATGGCTCAGATCCACCGCAATGTCATCTACTCCGTGTACCAGGTGGGTGGGCTACATGTTGTTTGGGATGTTTACCAGGTGGGTTACGTGGCGTCCGCTTACCAGGTGAATATCCTTTCATCTGGTTTGTGCAATGGGCAAGTTGCATCGTCTGGTTCGTCCATTTGAAGGTTTCATGTCACCTCGTTTACCTGAGGGGTGTGATTAATCCTCTTTACATTCCAGGTCGGTATTTTCTCATCATGTCTCTAACTTCTCTCTGTTTCTGACTGAAAATCGGTGGCTGTTATTCTGTTTGTGCTTGCTGCAGTTCAAGCCTGTTATGGCAAAGCAACCTGATTTGGTCAACGTGGCCAATGGTGGTGCAGCTGCTGCAGCAGCAGCAGTCCCTGCTGCGACTGAGGCATCCCAAGCAACTCAGTCCACAGGAGCAGCCGCAACAGTAGAACCAGTGGCAACAGAAGCAGCAGGAGAAGCAGAAGCAGCAGAAGAAGCAAAAACCGAGGGAGAGGGTGGGGTTGAAGTTGCAACAAATGCAGGAGCAGGCCCCACAGGAGGGAGGGGTGGGCGGAGGGGCGGACAGAGGGGCCGTCAGCGTGCAGCGAAAAAGGTTACTGCTAGGTCTAATAGCTCGTAAACAGAGCTTTGTGCAGATTCTCTGAATAGTGTGTTTTTGCTGTCCGTTTTCTGTACTGGTGAATATAAATCGCAGTGCTCTTTAGATTGTGTGTATCATCACTTCGCAACCAGTAATTAAGATTTTGCTTGAATGTGTTCTCAGTTCCAAATTCTTTTTTGTTGCTGATTATTGGTGGTTAGAAGTTCTGTCGATGACACACTGATGTTCCCCCATCCATTTCGCGGTTTCGAGCCATTGTCAGCGTCATCCAAGGCGTGGTCGCCGGAATCACATGAACCCCATCCAGATGGCGCGCCAATGGAAATTCGGAACCAAGATTGCCCTCCAATCTGACCAGGCTTCACACGAACAGTTGACAAGACATTCCATTGGCTGATCGTCACGTGGGTGACTCCTCCGCTGCCCAAATACCAGTCTCGACTCGACTTTGAGGATGCCCCTCCAATCACGGTGAAACTGTATCCTAGCTTCAAATTCGTCTCGACAAGAATGAGCTTGAGAAAGGCTGTTCTTGAAATACTACCCACTTACAGCTCACACCACCGCATTGAAACCTACAAAACCGTAGATGAACAATTTCATTGCACATCCAGCCCGCACGAAAATTTCCCTTCTGACAGTTCGCATCAACGTGTCGCACAATTCCGAAGAAGCGCAACGGCAGTGGGTGCTCATGTCATGTTGTTCGCCGCCGGTGATTGCGGGAAGCCGCGTCAGCAAAGCGTCACACCCCTCACACCCATTGCTGAATTTCTGCAAACCCTCCTCAACTCACCCTCCCTCCTCTCCTCCCCCCCCCTTCTCTCCTCCCCCTTTCTCCCCATCTCAAGCTCCTCTGGCCCGAACAAGAGTTCCTCCAACTGCCAAAACTCTGTCTGTGTGCAGTGTGCATCAACGTGAACTGAGAATTTAGACATCACCAGAATCTGTGTGCGTTTCCTCAATAAGAAGTGCCTTCAAGCTCCAGCAAACACTAAGTTCTGAATGCTGTCCAATCTTCCTGCAATCTTCGCTTGAATTCGAGCTGTGCACCCGCAGCCATGGATCCCTCTGCCATGGAGCTTCAGGAGTTTTACCACGGTGCGGCCTGCCAATTCGAGTCGAAGCGTAGTTCGTTGTTCGAGGCCGGACAGATTTGGGACGTCGGTGCCGCTGTGCTAGGAGGTTTCGTTCCCGGTGTCGTTCTCGTTAAATGTGTAGCTGTCGCTGGAGCGCTCACATTCTCGTCATGGTGCGCCGCGATTGTAGTAACAGCGGCCGCACTCCAGCGGATACACAGTGAGTGGCCATTCTCGACCTTGTTCCATTAGCTTCCTACAACCGCCGCCTCTCGTTCCCTGGCCAGTTTGCGTTTGATTTACTAAATTGCTCTTGCATTCTAGCTGTCAAAGGTCAGTTCCAGAAGTCTGGTGTTGCTTTATTATGAGTTGGCTCTTACACGCCTTTCTTTTGCCCTATGCAGGCTCCACCATGTCAGACGACATGGATGGCTTCTCCCGCTGAGTTTTGCGGATGAAAAGAGACAACGTTGTGCGCTGACCTACTAACCACCTACTAACATACCTCGCGAGATGCCATCTCGTTGGAAGCCGTTGGAGCGACGGCATTGCTCCGCGATCCGAATTTTGTAACTAACTACTAATGTTTATTGTCCATATTACCGGTACATTAAGTGTCAAACCTTAGTTCAAATTGGCACGAATCTCGTTCTACCATTTTCAGAATCACACCGTAATATCTCAGTTCAAGCCAGTGAAATGTTCCTTCTAAATAATCTGGGAGAGCAATTTAGAAGTGGTGTACAACTACCGTCCATGGTGTAAACTCTAACGTGATCTAGCTGTGAATAGTGAAGTTACACTTGACCAGTTGCCACCGTAGCTTCCGCTCAGAGAAGAGAGAACAGAGATGTAGGAGTTTGTGGAACTAATGCATTCTCTACGTCGTTATTACAACATTGCAAGAATACAGTATAGTGGCGTCTAATGCCCCGAGTCGCCTCCGCAGGTTTGCCCTCACATACATCTTTCCATGTCGCCTAGCTGGAAACACAGGGGAAGGGCCAGATTAAGTCCTGCCAAAGTGGCGGCGGCGGGGCGACCGTTTCTTCTGAATCCACACACTGCTGCAATGTCGCCCTAGCTCCCTGAAATTCAACCACACATCGCGGCGTGCGTTTCGTTTGGAGCTTTTGACGAAAGACTTGCTGTTGAATGCTATTGTCGCTGCCCTGATTGACCAGCAGCTTTTCTGCTCGTCGTTATACTACCTCGTCCGTACACCACCATTCCTGAATCCACGCGGCAGCAGTTCACACATCCCCCCATAAGCAGTCCAATTTATGCCGACCACCGACGTTCTTAGCTTCATCGCAGTGTGCATCGACGGTGCTCTTTATTTTTTTTCCAGGCGTCGCCGCTGTGCGTACTTGCACATCTGCCAGTGCGTCCCTTCGTTCGACCAATAATAGTTCTTGCTTCGTACGGATGTGCCAGTCTCAGAAGTTCGGTTCCGAACATCCCGAAGATACTGTTTTCGCTAAGCACGCACTTACCAGCTGCATGGCCGTTCACCTTTCGCTAAGCACGCGTTTAGTGAGGAGGGTGACTGCGCCGTGGAAGTATCGCCACCCAAGCAGAAATGGGTGATCCACAAAATAATGGATTCTAAGTCTTCCTCGCCTGGACACAAATAAAAAGACCATTCACCCGAATGGCTGTCCTTAACAAGCCCACCAGCGGCTATCCGCACCGACCATGACTTCCTTCTCGAAGCAGAATTTACTCTTTCGGTTACTCCCTCTCTCCCACCTTCCGTTACGTACCATACCGTTTAGGCTCCGCGGTAACTGCGCAGCTTTTTGCGAGCATGGCCGCGTCAAAGAACCTTCTTATGATACCGTTTTGCCCAGCTGTTGTTTCTGAGCGACTCTTGCATAAGGCGTACAACGCTTGAAGGCTCCACGCGTTCAGATTTGACTACTAGAGCCGCTCCCTTCGAGGCCGCTCAACGCCCAACCCTTTGCCATGGCAGTTGTTTTTTTACACTGGCGACTCGGTCGTGTTGCGTTAGTCCTGACTGTTTTTTTTCTTCTCGCAGGTAAGCTGTTTGCGCTTTGAGTCGCGCAAGATGTCGTACACTTCGGTTACGAATATGCTTACGAAGACTTGATTTGTTCCGATATTTTTTATAAGTTGTTATTTCATACTCATTTCTGCCGTTTCTTCCCATGGGTCCCTATCCCCACCTCCTCGTCCACTCCATGCGTCTTCCATTCCTCGTTCCCATGCCTTTCTGTCGTGCCGCGCTCCCATGCCCCGTGCCTCGCTCCCATAACTCACTCCCACGCCTCAATACCGTCCCCGCTCCCGTGCCTTACCGTGCCTCACTTCCCTGCCTCGATCCCGTGCCTCGCTCCCGTGCCTCGATCCCGTGCCTCGCTCCCGTGCCTCGCTCCCGTGCCTCGCTCCCGTGCCTCGCTCCTGTGCCGCGCCCTAGTGGCTCCCGTGGCTGCACGTGGTTGTTATCTCGTCCGCAGTGCCACCATCGACAAAGGTACGAACGCGGGGATGGGGTGGCGTGAAATGGCTGAGATACCGCCTGACTTTTATGGCATGCTGTTAACCTTTAAGACACCCATTTCGCTCTGAAGTGATTCTTGAGGCGCCTCACTGTTTGCCCGAGACAGCCTGATTCTCATGCATGCTGTTGACCCTCAAAACAACCATCTCACATCGCAAAAATAGGCAGCTCATGAGCCGTTGATCGTGAAGCCTGCTATTCATCCACCTTCTCCCTTCCTCTTCCTTTTTTCCCTTCGCCCCTCTTTGTCATTCAAAGAGCAGGCAAAGACAGTGGTGGTTGGAGGGGGGGGGGGCTGAACCCGTGGAGCGAGTGGCGCATGCGGGTCTGGAAAAAGCCAGAGCTGCGAGTGGGGGACACTCTTGGTGAGACCTGCACTTTGCGTGTAGGGTGCCTTTCTTGGACAGGAAAGGCGTGTAGAGTGTTTGTCCTTATGAGTTCCAAAAGGGACATTCTTGGTGAGACTGCACTCTGCGTGTAGAGTGTTTGTCCTTATAAGTTCCAAAAGGGACACTCTTGGTGAAACCTGCACTCTGCGTGTAGAGTGTCTTTCTTGGGCAGGCAAGGATGGTGGTGGTGGGTGGGGGGGGGGGGGGGGGGGGCTGAGCGAATGGCGCATGAGGGTTCCGAAAAAGCCAGTGCTGCGAGTGGGGGACATTCTTGGTGAGACTTGCACTCCGCGGTTAGAGTGTTTGTCCTTCAAATTTCCAAAAGAAACACTCTTGGTGAGACCTGCAGTTTGGGTGTGCAGTGTACACTGTGCGCGCATCGTATGCTGCCAGCCAGCCGAGTGATGCACTAGTGTGCATGTGCTGTGTGCATGTGCTGTGTGCATGTGCTGTGTGCATGTGCTGTGTGCATGTGCTGTGTGCATGTGCTGTGTGCATGTGCTGTGTGCCTGTGCTGTGTGCATGTGCTGTGTGCATGTGCTGTGTGCATGTGCTGTGTGCATGTGCTGTGTGCTTGTGCTGTGTGCATGTGCTGTGTGCATGTGCTGTGTGCATGTGCTGTGTGCATGTGCTGTGTGTATGTGCTGTGTGCATGTGCTGAGTGCTTGTGCTGTGTGCATGTGCTCTGTGCATGTCTTTGGGCATGTGCTCTGTGCCTCGCATATACCCATTCTGGTTCATCTTGATGTCCCTTCCCCCTCTTGCATGCGGTGCGCACACCTCGCAGTCTTCAAGTGGCGGGGCTTCCTCAACAACCTCATGATTGCTTTTTAGCCGTACCTGAGCTGTGTACCTGAGCTGTGTGCCTGAGCTGTGTACCTGAGCTGTGTACCTGAGCTGTGTGCCTGAGCTGTGTACCTGAGCTGTGTACCTGAGCTGTGTACCTGAGCTGTGTGCCTGAGCTGTGTACCTGAGCTGTGTACCTGAGCTGTGTGCCTGAGCTGTGTGCCTGAGCTGTGTGCCTGAGCTGTGTGCCTGAGCTGTGTGCCTGTTCTGTGTGCCTGTTCTGTGTGCCTGTCTCTGTGCCTTTTCTGTGTGCCTGCCCCTATGCCCCACTCTGCATCATTATGCCTGCACTCCTGGCAGTCTTCAAGTGGCGGGGCTTCCTCAACGACGTCGCGATTACTGTTGACAAGAAGCAAATCGATACCTGCAACATCACTGTAGCGTTTCTCCTGCACCAGACCACGTGGTCAGGCCGTTACAAGCTTCTGATTCCAAAAGACACCTAGCGAGCCTATTTCGCCAGCAGCATTCGCGGACGGTGCAAGAGGGGGCTCAAGTACGACACTGGTCCCATTCTTGCGTGATTTTGGAGTGAAAAAAGGGTGGTTTTGAGACGTCTCGAAACCACCCTTCTTTCACTTCGCCAGGGTCGCATTCGCAGACGGTGCAAGAGGGGGCTCAAGTACGACGCTGGTGCCATTTTGCCGTGATTCTCTTAGTTGACTCAGCATCCGTGAACGGTGCAGGAGGGGGTTCAGGCTCACGTACAACACAGGTACCATTCTGAAGTGATTTTTGGCATGCGTGAATCTGCTTGTCCAGTATGTGGTCACTGGCCATGTAAATAAGGTGCATGCATGCACAGCGTAGGCCTCAAGCGTGTGGATTGGACAGGATTAGGACACGGTTTGTACTGTAAGTTGACGAACAGTTTGATTGTGAACAGACAGGAGCCTATGCTGTGAAGTGAGGCGGAAGTAGGGATTTGACGTCAGGATTGTAACGAGTAGCTATTTTTAGAGAAAGGGCAGATATCTACCTGCTCTGTTACCAATCTCCCTTATCCACTAGAGATTATAATCACAAGCTGGTAAAGGCACCAGTTCTTATTTATTGCTTTCTGTGGCTGCACGGACCAGGAGAAAGTCAACCATTTCTTCGGTTCCCCACTCTGCACGCACAACAGAAATACTAAATGGTGAAACATGGAAGACTCCCATCAATCACAATGCGAACAATCATACGCGACGAAAAGAACAAATACAACATCTACCAATAGTTGCATTGCATCTAAGCTCTCCGAAATCACCTGCACATGCTGTGCAATCAGCCCATAATTGAGGACATCAGTCCGTTATTTAGAGAATCAGTCCATAATTGAGGACATCAGTCCGTTATTTAGAGCATCAGTCCATAATTGAGGACATCAGTCCATAATTTAGGACATCAGTCCATAATTGAGGACATCAGTCCATATTTTAGCACATCACTCCATACTTAAGCACATCACTCCATACTTAAGCACATCCCTCCATACTTTAGCACAACAGACCAAACTTTAGCACATCAGTCCATACTTTAGCACATCAGTCCATACTTTAGCACATAGTTCCATACTCACCCTGCTTCCCCAAATCATCTTGATGCCACCTCAATGCCACCTCAATGCCACCTCAATGCCACCTCACTGCCACCTCAATGCCACCTCACTGCCACCTCAATGCCACCTCACTGCCACCTCACTGCCACCTCAATGCCACCTCACTGCCACCTCAATGCCACCTCACTGCCACCTCAATGCCACCTCACTGCCACCTCAATGCCACCTCACTGCCACCTCACTAACTCCCACATCAGCGCCACCTCAAAGCCACCTTGCGTGCACACCTTGAGCGTACTCGAGCGCGTTCCCCTTGTCATCACTGGTGGCGTACAGGTCAGCGCCGGCGTCCAATAGAATGCGAGCAACGTCCAGGTTGCCCTTTATGCACGCGAACTGGGAGAGGGAAGGGCAGAGCTTTTGACACTTGACTTTAGTAGTCTCAAAAGGCATGCGAACAACGTCCAGGTTGCCCTTAATACACGCAAATTGGGCGAGGGAAGGGGAGAAATGATATTCTAATCGTTGTTGGTGGTAAAAATATGATCTCTAGGCACAATTTCTAGACATGAAACTATTGGACGAGGCATAGTAAAAAGGGGTTATCATGACGGCAGGAAAAGGAAAGCGGCTGGATGATGCAACCAAACCACAGGTAGGGAATCGCGTGAAAGGAATACAGGGATGCTATAATGATCAATCCAGAGTGCAAATATGCAATTTATGTTATGCGGGGTAATCAATCTGCTTTTGAGTTGACTCAAAAGCAATTTATGTTATGCGGGGTTATCACTCTAAGTCTCCCAGACCTGCAGCGGAGTATTGCCGGTGCTGTTCCGAGCGTCAGTGTCAGCTCCGGCAGCCAGAAGCACCTGGACGACCTCTGGATGCTCGTAGAACGCTGCGAGGTGCAACGCTGCAGGGGAGGGGGAGAGGGGGGAGGGGGGTGTGGGGGGGAAGGTTTGAGTCGACTCAAAAGTAGACAGAAGCACCTGGACGACCTCTGGATGCTCGTAGAACGCTGCGAGGTGCAATGCTGCAGGGGAGCGGGGGAGGAGGGCGGGGAGGGAGGTGTGGGGGGGGGGGGGGAGTGGGGTGAAAGGGAGGGGGGGTTCTAGTCGACTCAAAAGTAGACAGAAGCACCTGGACGACCTCTGGGTGCTTGTAGAAAGCCGCCAGGTGCAACGCTGCAGGTGGTGGGTGGGGAGGGCGGGTTTTGAGGCTCCTCCCATATAAAAGCACCTCAACTACCTCTGGATACTCGTAGAAAGCCGCTAGGTGCAAAGCTGCAGGTGGGGGCCGTGGGTGGGGAGGGGGAAGGGGGGTGTTGAGGCGCCTCAAGAATAGAAGCACCTGGACTGGACGACCTCTGGATGCTCGTAGAAAGCTGCCAGGTGCAACGCTGCAGAGGGGGGGCGTGGGTGGGGGGTGGGGAGGAGGGTGTTGAGGTGCTTCGAACATAGAAGCACCTGGACGACCTATGGATGCTCGTAGAAAGCTACCAGGTGCTACGCTGCAGGGGGGCGGGTAAATTGCCATGGTTAAGAAGCTCACATGTTTCATACAGAATGATTGGCCAAAAAAATAATGATATAGTTTTGGTGTAGTAAAATGCGTTGGATTGTTAGAAGGATCAAGCGGTAGGCAGCATGCACATACACTCCCATAACCCTTGAATCTCAAGCCCATAACAGTCTTTCAAAATTCAAGCCTTGCATTTATTACCAGCCTGCATTCTCGTGTTACCAACCTGTCTCTCGTGTTACCATCCTGTCTCTCGTGTTACCAACATGTCTCTCGTGTTACCAGCCTGTCTCTCGTGTTACCAGCCTGTCTCTCGTGTTATCAGCCTGTCTCTCGTGTTACCAGCCTGTACTCGCGTTTGACTGGCAGCCTGTACACTAATGTTGTAAGCCTGCAGGCAATTGTTACTATCATGCACGAAATGTATAGCATCATCGTTGTTTTCTAGGGTTACCTGTCCAACCAGATCGTTCAGGGCTAGGTAAATTAATGTCGACTCCGCCGCCTGCCAATAGCTGCTTCACCGTGGCCACGTCACCTTCCTTAGCCGCGTCTTTAATCGCCTCGTTCACGTCCCCGACAGAAGCAGACGCGACAATAGCAGTCCCTGCACTCGCCGCTGCTACTACTCGGCATCCGTACGGCCAGCCTGTAGTAAGTTGTCGCGATCGCAGGGAGCGAGAAACACACGTGTGCCTGCGAGCTGGTAAAACCGTCGCGCGTGTGAAAGAAGATGCGCGGGGAGAAGGGAACTGTTGCTGGCTGCTTGTGGCTCTCGATTCGCACGCGACGACGCGAGACACGAAAGCTGCTTGCGTGGACGAGTGGGCGACCAGAGAAACAGCAGGAGCCGCCATTGTGCTAACGATTCTTCAGGAAAAAGGAAGGTGATAATGGAACGCATCAATCTGATCAAGCTGTCTAGAATTTGTTGAGTAGTATCCGCGTTTATAACAGACCACGTGGTTATGCACAAGCCTCTGTTGTAATGTAGACAGGCGTTATACGACATTACATATTAGAGTACAGAACAGAAGTTCCCTGGTGTTCACACACACCCTGCTTGCTGCACGGATCACATCACATGTGCGGAACTGCTCTCTAAAAACGGTCAAGACTGCATGCATACAAAATAGTCCACAGGAAAACAAACTTTGATAATTGTTATATTCAGTTTATGTGTGGCTTTGATGGTGTTGGACGTTGGAATAGAAGTAGAGAATATTTGCGGGTAGGGCCCTGCCCGGCCCAAGTCACATTCTTCGTGGAAACCGACTTTCTGGTAACGGACCTGTACGGTTTCATGGCGCTTCCTGGCCCTCAACTCAACTCGACTGTTGCTGCGCTTGGGTTCACCTGATGGAGTGTGATAATGATGTGCATTCCTTTCAATGCCTACTATTCTTACCCTTCACACTATTAGTCAAACGTATCGGTTTTTCCCCTTGCACTGTAAGACAACTTAGAATCCAAGTGTGTATTAGAAAAGTCCCCTCAAGCTTGTAGTGTCCCTGTTTCAATGGATCTCTTCAGGGTTTTCAACCCAGCATTTCGTGAAGCCGACGTGTCAGCTGGTCTTGAAAGCTACAGCTTTGAATTCGCGTTATCGCGACGAAGCGAATGGTACACTTATTATGTCCATCAGGCGGACATCGTAACTATTGCTTCTCGGGATCTGCTGTCAAGCTTCCAAGGTTTCATCAGCCATCAGGCAACGCATTCAGCATTATCGAAGATTATCCACTGGTTGTGTCAGGAATCTAACGCGCAGGACGAGGATTGGTTATTCATATTACAATATACTACCAAGGCCCATGGACATCATCCCTTGGTTGCGTCAGCTGGAATACAGCATATGTGTCAAGAAGACTCAACAGCTAATGGGGACATGCGGTCTCTACTTAAGAAGATGCTCAGACACCCAGCGTATCAGGCATTTCTGGCCTTTTGTCTTACAACACTGCTGGTCTACGATCATCATTGCACCATGCCGCGTGCTCCGCCTAAAGGGAGAGTGCCTTCGACGAAGAAGCAGACTGATGCCATGGAGGATCCACCGCTACCTGCAGACAAAGGCAAAGAGAAAGTGGTTGAGGAGGATGCTGCTGTGACCATCCATACGGAAGGGAGCAGCTCTGGTCTGTCCCTGGAGGAGAAACTTGCTGCGCTTACCTCTGCTCATGCTGACGCTGATGACTTCACGGATGATGACTCCGACGACGAGCTTGAGTTTGATGTCACGAAAGACCTCGTCGCCAAGCAGCGCTTCACGGCCATCCTGCTGATCCCGTTCATCCTGCAGCAGGAAATGGCGAATGTTATTCTGACCGTGCGAATGTTGTTAAAGCGTGTTTGGTCTACCCTGTTATCTGACGGAGCTAA